TCGTGCTCCTGCTCCTGCTGCGACATGACTTGTAGCAGCTGGCTTCAACTTTCAACGTGCAACTTCCAGTTGCAAGTTGACAGCGGCTGTGACGGTGGCGGCGCTAATAAACAAATCAACTGCCGGCTGACTAAGTTATGTAAAGCGCATTAGTGACGTGCCACTTGGTTGGTGGCATGGTGGTGCAGTGGTGCAGTGCAGTGGTGCAGTGGAGTGGCGCTGCCTTCATTTATTTCACGTCAGTTGAGGACAATTTTGATAGACTGGCTTTGAACGTGAGAGTGTGTGTGTGTGTGTATGAGTGGGTGTATGGCTCTTGATGACCAGCAGTTAACAATTAACACTTTTGTTGTTTTTAGCTGTCAAACAGCTAGCCTAAGGTTTGTGTGTGAGTGTGTGCTGTGTGTAATGCAAATTGAGATGGCACAAAGTTGTTGCACATATAATGACCAGGATGATGCTGACGATAATGATGTTGCGAGACAGCTGAGAATGATTTGAGCTGACTGAGAATCGCTCGTCGCTCAAATGCAAATGCCAAGGTCCACAAATTGAGTTGATGTCACGTTTTAACGGCTTAACGAGCAGTTTAACGGTAATTATATATATGTATGTGTGTGTGTGTGTGTGTGTGTGTGTGTGTGTGCGTGTGTGGCTGCCACGTAGAAATCCATCAGCGTGAATGCATGCTGTGCTGTGTTAAGCGAACAGCCATATGTTGCCACCAGAGCTGAAGCTGAAGATAGTTTATATGCTAGTCGACAGCGATGGGCGGAGCACGACAGGCATCGATGCATGGACATGGCCATGGGCCATGGGCGTGGGCGTGGGCGTGGGCGTGGGCTGGGCATGCTAGTTGTCCTCGTGCAATGACCTCGTCTCTCTCTTGTTCTCGCCTTGGCACTTCCTTTTGGCCATTTATTTTGCGGTCTGCCAGCCAAGCAGCCAGGACTACGGAATACAGACTACGGACTGCCAGCAGCTGCATGTGGGCCATGTTGGTCACATCCTTCCGCTTTGGACGCATGCAGGCATTTTATTGTTCAGGCAGAACTGCAGCTGCTGATAATGATAATGATAATGATAATGATAATGTTACTGATGCTGATGCTGATACTGATGATGATGATGATGATGATGATAATGGTGCTGATGATGTCCTCGGGCAGCCTTATGAGGTGGCAAAGTGTGCATGGAATGAAATATGTTGCAACACTGTGCACAACCAGCAATTGAATTCCAATTTAAATTTTTGCCCCAAATAAATTTCACTCCTGGGGACTGAGCTCAATTTCGATTTGACCACCCCACCTGTATCTACCTTGAACCCCTTCTTCTGCTTACCTTTGATTTTTATTAAAGTTTTTAGCTGTTGCTGCTCGACTTATTTCGGCTAATTTTACTTATATATGAATGTATATATCTGCCTCTGGCTATTTCCGCTAATTACTTCCAATTGGCTCTTAATTGCCTTTCATTTATCTCATTTTTGCTTTTGATATTTCTACTTTGAACATTTCGATTAGGACGCCTGACCCCAGCCCAGCCCAATTAGCAGCAGGAGCTGGGGCGTCATCAAACTCCTAATTTGCTATAATTTATCTCAGCTTAAAAGCGTGAGAGAGAGGAAGATGGAGAGGGAGAGGGTGGGGGAGAGAGGTCCATTTGAAATAGAAATGATAAGAGCAGAGACCAATTAATGCTATCATAAATTTATCAATATATACACTTGGAATTTAAATGGTCATACAAGACGTACATAGAATTGATTTATCGCCCTCCAGTCGTGACCTTTTGCATCTCATCGAACCATGAGGCAAGCTGCCAAAACGCGGACTATGTACGATGCTGAGAATTTCGATATAGCACTTGCATGGAGGTGGAGCACACGTCGACGCGTCGGTTGATGGGCAGAATGCGGCACCAGGCGTGAGCGAACCATTTACCAATTGCAGCTATGGCTTGGCCGCAAGTATAGACACTCCTCATCACCTGGCGAGATAGGGAACATATCAGCACTTGGCTAGTTGCTTCATGTGAGAGAAACGCAAATCAACTGGAGGCCAGCAGAGTGAGGCGATAAGCGATAGATATTTACAGAAGTCGAATCCGTTGAAACTGGGTACCGGTGGCAGGTCATTGTTTGTGTTGTAGACACTGGTGTTCGAGCCTTGTGCAGTCAGTAGATGCTTTGATTTGTCGCCACTCAATTCGTCGGCGGCGGACGGAGGCGGTACTGGCGGCATCATTGACGGATCTAGCAAGATGTCCTGATGCCGCAAATCCGCTAACACCGACTCGTTGTCGCGTTCCGATTGTATCGAATTGTCCGCGAGCGCGAGCTTGGCCTGCGATGATTTCATGACTTCCTCGAGCATCTTGCGTTTCAGTTCGGCTAGCCAGAGTTCTGTGGCCTGATCGCCGCAGGTGTGCTGGAGGCGTGCCTCCATTAACCGCTGGCTAAGGAAGGAGCTGTGCTCGAATTTGGCCACAGTAGCGGCAACACGGCCAGCAACGGCCTGGATGTTCCAGTCCTGCTGCCTGCCAGCTATTTGAGCCTTGCACTCACCCATACACTCGAATTTCTCGATTAGTAGCTTCACGGTCCGCTTGCTGTGCATGTTCATGCAGGAGACGTGCTTCTTATCCATTGCAAGTGATAAAAGTCCTAGTGGAAAAACAAAAACAACAAGAAATGAATACAACTATTAATATGGAACATATAAATCGAAAAATGAAAAAATAAATAACACAAGTCTGACTGAACTGATACGTTCGAAAATAATAAATGCTGAATGCTGAAAGCACTCACAATTCAGTCACAGCCTCCTCCAATCACGTTTCGCTTCCTCTGTCACTCTCTCTCTCTCTCTCTCTCTCTCTCTCTCTTGCTCTCTCTGTCACTGTCTGTGTCTTTCTTTGTGCTTGTCTTGTGTGTCTCGACTTGTCCTGCCAGCACATCAATCACAATCACTGTGCCAACATTTATGGCTGCTTGTTTGGCTGTCAGCCTTGGCATATTACACATACGCCCTGTTCGCCCCCCGGGCAAACAGCAGCTAACAGCCGCGCCGCATCGGCAGCAATCGCTTGCGCCTCCACCCAAGAGTCTCTCTCTCTCCCTCTCCCTCCCTCCCCGTCTCCGGCTCTCTCGTGTCACGTAGATTAAGGACATTAACAAGGCGTGCTAAGTCATCGCCCCAAGGCAGCTAAGCATCGAGGGCTTACCGCAAAGAGCCAAAGATTATCGTCATGCAGCCAAGCATCCAACTTGTTGGATGACGGCAGAGAATGCAGAGCTTCCTAATGCGACCATTTCATTTGAATGCCGATTATTATCGTTCAGTTCATTCAGTCCATGAAATGCGCATTCCAAGCCAGCATTGCTGCTGCCATGTTCTTTTCAATTACACTCAAGTGACCATGGAGCTCGTCGTCGGAGCAAAAAGTTCGAATATGCTAATCAGCTCTCAACATATCGGCATGGAGCATGTACAAAATTTTCCTTCCTTTATTTGTAACTAAATTTCCATCGAGTGTAACTATGCTCTCTGCATAGCCTTGAGTGCTCTAAAGTTTACATTAAGTTAACATAGCATGCACCATGTAAAACAATATGTTTCTATATAGCCTTGAGTGCTGTAAAGTGAATATGTTGGATGCCTACTAATATGCTCTGCTCAGACTCCGGGCATTGCGGGCATGTGCCAATCATTTTGGTGTAGCCTCGAGTGCTCTAGATGTAATTTGAATACGTAAGAGTGTTCAAGGCAGGTAACTACTCGACTAGTGGATACCCTGATCATGATATTCTTATATAAGTCTCTCATATTTTATGGAAGGTATCCTAAGTATGAAAATTACCAAATCTCTAAAAATTCTAGCTATTACGATATTCAAATAATAATTAAAACGCGAGGTCCAATTATCGATTTTTATCGATTTTAATAAAATAAGTCATGTTATCGCAAAATTAAGAATAAAAACAAGTGATAAACTCAGTCCGAGTTTCAAGTCTGTAGCTTTTGTGGTTAACGGGATACCTGCATGTAAGTTAACGTATCCATAGAAGGTGGGTCGGGCAAGGCTTTATTGACTCCGACTCAGATGTCGTTCTGATTAAGAATGTTATATAGATACGCATTTATATATAATAAAAATACAAAAATATAATAATATATCAAAATTATTTATTTTGCAATTATATTATTAAATTAATTATTATATTTTTGTCATCTGCCTCCACTTCCTCGGTGAAACCATTATACCCTGATTTCGTTCAGGGCATACAACCCCACATTCATGACCATGTTTACTTGAAGAGTATTAAAAAGTTATTTACCTGGTCCATTATGTACCTTTGAACTCATCATGCAGCTGGGCCACCTGCACCTGGTATTTCTACTAATGTATAGATAATAAAACTTTTTCCCGTTGCACACATGTGTAGCTGGCCTGCACCTGCCTCTGCATATGCGTTGTCAGTGAATGGGAATAGTTAAAGAGAACTAAATGCATGCGATGCATTCAGCTGTTAAATTAACTGCTGTCGCACTGAGCTTGTGGCTGGCAGTTGGACTGGCCGGACCAACGGCCAACGACCACGTTGCCCAGCTATGTAGATGGTTAATTCCGACATGTAATTGTGAACTGCCTGTCATGCGATTTGCATGATGGTTTTCAACTTGCGCCTGATTAGCTCGACAGGTAGACATGTGTGTGTGTATGGGGAGAGATGGGAGTGACTCCCATCCCTTGACAGTGTTCCTTCTCTTGGCCGCCCCCTCTTTGCTCTTTGGGGCTGGGCCATATGCGGGCACGTCGAGGCCGTTAGCCAGTGGCAGCAAATTTGAAACGTGCCAATTTAAATGTTTAATGCTAATGGAATTGATCGGCGCACAAGGCTGGCATCGATTGCACGCAGCCAATTGAATCGCGCCGAACACGCGTGCGAGTGAATTGCTTAATTATCATATCGCTGTTTCCCTTTCATTTTCCAGCCGAAGCCCCGCTCTGGCCAGGACAACAGCAATAAGTGCGCAACACCAATGCGTCCCATCAACACAGCTCAGCATGGAGCAGTGTAACTAGAGCGCGCACATCCAACAGTCGGCCAACCAGGTGGACAGCGAATAGCGGAAGCAATACCTTCAAAGTCTAAAGCCGTCGCAACCAAGGCCGTCAAATTGGAAGGAAAACGCCTTTTCACGGCAGTTAACAAGTTTTTAACTGGTTCAACAATTGCCCGCGAGCTGAGGCAGCTAATGGTAAGGGGAACATCTCTGATGTGGAATGTGTGGGTGTGGAATGTAGAGAGTAAATCATAAATCATAAATTGTAGAGTGTAGATCGTATAGCGTAGAGCGTAGAACGTAGAGCGTAGAGCGTAGAGCGTAGAGCGTAGAGCGTAGAGCATAGAGCGTAGAGCGGAGAGCGTAGATCGTATAGCGTAGATCGTAAAGCGTAGAGCATAGAGCGTAGAGCATAGAGCATAGAGCGTAGAGCGTAGAGCGGAGAGCGTAGATCGTAGAGCGTAGAGCGTAGAACGTATAGCGTAGATCGTAAAGCGTAGAGCGTAGATCGTATAGCGTAGAGCGTAGAACGTATAGCGTAGATCGTAAAGCGTAGAGCATAGAGCGTAGAGCATAGAGCGTAGAGCATAGAGCATAGAGCATAGAGCGTAGAGCGTAGAGCGTAGAGCGTAGAACGTATATCGTAGATCGTAGAGCGTAGAGCTTAGATCAAGGAGCGTAGAGCGTATAGCGTAGAACGTATAGCGTAGAGCGTAGAACGTATATCGTAGATCGTAGATCGTAGAGCGTAGAGCTTAGATCAAGGAGCGTAGAGCGTATAGCGTAGAACGTATAGCGTAGAACGTATATCGTAGAACGTATATCGTAGATCGTAGAGCGTAGAGTTTAGATCAGAGAGCGTAGAGCTTAGACGTTTGATCGTATAGTCTAGATCGTAAAGGTTAGATCGTAGAGCGTAGGCCTATAGAGTATATAAAGAATGTAAGGTGTTCTTATTTATTCTATTTGAAGAAGACCCTTGAGTATTCTATGTCTACACTACTTCTACATGTCATTCCGGCATTTCGCTTGCAATTCGAAATGCATATAAGTCTCTTGCTATAATTTAAAGTCGCTTTAGACATTTTTATTGATTTGGCGTCGAGTTGCCATTAAAATTTGAAACCATTTTGTACACACTCTGCTCGATAGACGAAGAACGCGCCGCTCAGTGGCGATGAACCCGACGAGGAGCAGACGGCGGCGGGCACAGACAATGAGCAGGAGCAGGAACAGCAGCCAGTAGATGGCCAGAGGCAGGCTCAGCAGGCACAGCATACAAATGAGCTGCAGGGGCATCAATCGACGGCGAAGCCACTTCAGAGGCGTCAAAGGCAACGCAAGAAATTGATAGCCCAGCAGCAGAAACAGCAACAACAACAGCAACAGAAGGCCGCCCTCTCGGATGCGGACACGGACTCCAGCTCGTGCGAGGCGGCGGGCACGACCAGCACACGAGTCAGCTATGCGCAGCGGAACCTTAGCGACCAGGTGGTCTACGAGCAGTACAACGACGATGACGACTACGACGAGGAGGACGAGGAGGAGGACGAGGATGGAGAGGATTACGATAACTACGAACAGCTGGCCACGCAGCGTGCGCCATTGAAGACAGCGCTACGAGTGCGAGCCCATGCGCCCGCCGGCACAGCTGGCGGGGATCAGGGCAGCGAGACGGGTTCGGTGCGGGCCAAGCGCAAAACGAAAACACGTCAATTCTCGCAGCGCACCAGCTCCTATGCGGTGGACGCCGGCCATGGTGAGGCGGATGCGGAAGCGCTGGACAAGCGTCGTTGCATCTCCAAGGGACAAATGCGAGGTGAGTGAAGCCAAGCAGACGGCTTGGACAGTCATCAGTGTGTTTGCTTCCTTCCAGAGTTCCGTGAGGCGTTCCGCCTGTTCGACAAGGATGGCGACGGCTGCATCACCAAAGAGGAGCTGGGCACAGTGATGCGCTCCTTGGGACAGTTCGCGCGTGTCGAGGAGCTGCAAGAGATGCTGCAGGAAATTGATGTGGATGGTGTGTAGGCCCGTTCTCTCTCTCCCTCTCTCTTTCTATATGTATGTGTCTCTGTCTCTTTCTATTTCTGTGACTTCTCTCTGCAGGCGATGGCAATGTGAGCTTCGAGGAGTTCGTCGACATTCTGTCGAACATGACATACGAGGACAAGTCGGGCCTGTCCTCAGCCGACCAAGAGGAGCGCGAGCTGCGCGACGCCTTTCGTGTCTTTGACAAGCACAATCGTGGCTATATAACCGCCTCCGATTTGCGTGCCGTGCTGCAGTGCCTAGGCGAGGATCTCGACGAGGAAGATAGTGAGTATACAAATATATATATTCGTAGCAACATCAGCTGACCATACAAGTCATTTCCATATATGTATATCCTCCAGCTCTATAGACAGTTCCTATCCTTTATCGTAACCTGTAGTCTATACCGAATTGCTTTACTCCCTGTTTTTCCATACAGTTGAGGACATGATCAAGGAGGTGGATGTCGATGGTGATGGACGCATCGATTTCTATGAGTTTGTCCACGCCCTCGGTGAGCCGGAGGACTCGCAGGAGAATGACGATGAGGAGGAGACATCGCCATTGCCCACGCCCAAATCCACGGTGTCCTTGAGCTACGAGTGAGCGTTGCGATCGCGCTCAAGATTTTTGCTCCAACTCTATGCAACGATATATGGAATATATCAAAACGCCATTTGCTCCGAACGCACAGCTAAACAAATTTGCAATGAATAAATTAATACAAAATTCTTTCAATAATAATTAAACTAATACATAAAATACATAAAAATAAACAACTTTTACTTTACTAATATAATAATATAATAACACAACTATATATATTCCAAGCAAATTAATTATAGATAATTCTAGTCTCCTCTCTCTATCAATCTCAATCTCCTTTTTAATTCGAAAATTGAATCAAGAGGTATCTGAATCGCGAAGCTTAGCTTATATTCTATTTAAACTTGACTTTAACTATATACAATGTTATAATTAACTGTTGTTTACATCACACAACATCGATTTGTCAACAAGAAAAAAAAAAAAACAACATAAACATATCAAATTCGCCTCTGATTAAGTATTTTCATCACACAATCGACCACCAAACACGAACCACTAAACAGAAGAAAATCTATATCTCATCGAAATACAATTTCTAAAACAGATAATACCGAATATACCCACAAACTACCGAAAAAATACCAATGCAATACTGAGAAAATATCACAAAAATACCAAATTGTTGCCCAGCTCTGCGGCGCTTTTATAGATATTCAAAATAGCAAAAACAAAGCAAATTGTAGCGTTTATCCATTTTGGGCTAAGACTTAATAATAAAATGTATTTAAGCAATTCTTTTCTTCCACAATTCAACATTTAAAAGGGATGCATATAATTAATACTAATTACGATTTACGATTTACGCATTACGAATATATATAAATATACATACATATATACATATTTATATACTTAACATATATACATATGACAAATTTATTTAGCTAATGATACGAATATTTGCTCAATTATTGTAGCAGCTGCGCCGACAAATGGCAGAACTTTAATTACAATCTAATGTAAACTTTTTATTCCATCGAAAACGAAATCAAAATCAAACAAAATAAATACAAAAAAAATAAAAAAAAAAAAATTAAAAAAAAAATAAAATAAAGATAAATTTTAAAAACTAAATAGAAAAGCAATCTCGTTTTATATGGGTAAGGGGATATATTTATTCTAGTATATTGATAAAAGAGTTATTTCAGCATATATTTATCAGAATGCTGGGGCTTGAATGTTGCCATCTTACAGCACATTATAAGTGGGGCATATTAGTTCTGAGGGTATACCAGGGAAATACCAGCTCTATGAGCTATATAATTATTATAATTGTAATAATATTTATTAGTTATTCTAGCCGCCTTTGCTCATATTTTCTTACTCTCTCTTTCAGTATTTTTTCCTATATATATAGTATATTTTATATATACGAATAAAACTATCCATTTTCAAAGGTTATAAAAGGAACTGCTGTCATTACTCTTAACTATGGCTGAAGTACAGAGTATGTGCTAGTCGAGCACTCCTATTTCCCATGCATACTTAACCTGTTTAATTATCAAAGGCCAAGTTAAGCTTATTGCTATTTCATATGGTTACAGCTGTAATGTGGCCCTAATTAATCCCTCATTGTAGCTAATTTATGTTTAAGCGACCTAAGAATATACATATATATACACATATATGTGTAGGTATATGTTGCTCTTACACGAGCTGCCCAATTGACAGCAAATCAATGCGAGCTCAAAGAGCCGAAAACCTTTTGTCACAAATCTGCGCCACTCTGTGGCCTGGTCCCGCCCACTGCAGAGCCAGATAATTTTCCGAAATTTAAAAACTAAATTACTATATGAAATTCCTATATATAGAAGAACATGTGTATGTGGATGTATATGTATATGTATTATATTGTATATTAGCATGCCACACAATGTAGAGCAACAATCAGTGAAAGCAACAGCTATGGGCCGCTTTTCACTCTGTGCCCCGAGCTCGCCCCGAGCTGCGGTCAGCAGCAGTTGGTTCCCAAAGCGCAAATTTAGGCGTTGGCTCGGCACGGCACGGCTCGACTCGGCTCGGACGCTGCGTTGGCAAAAGTCACATTAATGGTCATGTAACGGAAGCCAGTCAAGTGCTCAGCCAGCAAATTATTAGGGGTAGCCACACACGCACACACACATAGAGAGAGGGAGAGCCTCTTAACGAGCTATGCGGCGTATGCGTAATATTTGTTGTCAGTTCAACCGGGAGGCGAGGCTATTCAATTTAAATACAATATGTTTATATAAAAGCATATTTGTGTAGCGCTTAGTTATATATGTAAAATATGCCTGATTGCTATCGACTATTGTCCAAAAGCTATTTGGGCTCCATTCAACTTCAATTCCATTGACAGTTTAGCTCGTTGAGCTGTGGCTGCGTTTGCTTTGCTTTGCTCGACTTTTGCCGTTACTTTCGCCTTGCTTTGCCTCGCTTTGCTGTGGGGCCTGGCGCCACTTGAGACTGGCAAAAGTTTCTCTTTTTATTTTTAATTAAAAGGCCCGGCTCGAGCTTTTGACTGATTAACAACGTGGCTTGGCCTTTGGGGATCCGGAAGCTGCCAACGGCTCCGTTCCGCACTTGGCTAACTCATTTTGGGCCAATTTGAGCGCCCGACGGCCGCAGTTCCATTTTATTATCCACAAATTTTGATGTGCTCGTTCCTATTTATTTATTTATTTATTTATTTATTCGCATATCTGTTTTTGATGTCTGTAAATTTCCGCATTTACGGCCGTTATTTCTAATTAATTTTAATGAGCGCTGAACGGCCATAAAGGCTAACCCCAAGAGGGACGGCCCAACGACTCACGCCCCCTCACTGCTGTCAGCCCCTCAGCCTTTGTGTGTGTGCTCTTTGTTATCCGGCTGATTGATATATAGCTAATACTTCAATACTGATATATTGAAACTGCCAGTGCGTGTGTCGGCCATATCCGAGCGGGGTCCACATAAATCATAAGCTCTGCCCCCCTCTTTTGCAGTCATCCAAATACTCTGCCCGTCTGTGGCTATGGGAACTGTTGCACTGGCTGACTGAATGAAACGTATCCGGGATTTGTTGAGTTGACTAGAGTCGATTATTAACAAACAATGAAATCATCAGCTGTTTCCTCTGTCTAAAATTGGCTGGATTGGGAAATAAATAAAAGAACTATTGAAAAATGAAAATTTTTTTTCGACATAATCCCCATAAAAAGTTGAATTGCTCTGATATAAAGGAATCTTTGAGAGGAACTTCATCGAACTTCGAACACATTTCCCCATAGCAATTGCGAATCCATATAGATATCGCATAACATATATAATATTTATACATATATATGTATTCATATTTAGCCACAGCCCCACATTAATTTATGAAGTGTATACACTCTTCGTTCTCTTATTTATTCTCATTATCATTATCATAAATGTGTACATAATTACGTTAATATAATAGCAATTGTTGTTGGTTAAACGTCGATAAATCAGTTGAATTTCAGCTTGAATTGTTGGAAGCATTGATGCTCATAGCCATTATGGGGGTCGACTAATGTAATCACAGTCATTAAAATGTTGCATTTATGTAGTTTATGCTAGAGCTAAATAATGCTGAAAGAACTAATCAATCATTCCATTGAGCGAGGGAGCTAAGGCGATCTGAGCTTAAGCGTTTATTGCTCTGAAGATCAACTCCTTTTATTTTAATCTCTTATTTAATAAGCCTTACATATTATCATAAGCAGAGGGCACAAATATTTATAGGTAAATTTCCATTTTAAATACTCATATAATATTTGTTGTATATTTATCAGCCTAAGCATAGAGCACAAATGTTTTTCTGTTGTACCCAAACCCTATTTCATTGTTTGCTGAGGATGATAGTTATTTCATCTTCCTCCGCACTCCTTAAGATGACAACAAATCTATACCATGTACCTTACCTATACCATATCTTATGTGCACATTTTTTGCTTCTTTGACCAATTTTCTTTTCTAGAATATTCAATATACTAAACACATTTATTTCTGATTGAATTTTCAGTTATTAAATTTTATTTATGTCTTGATGCAATATAAAATATAAATTGGTTTTTGGAACGGGTTTCGAACTGTTTCGCTTCACATATCATTTTGGTATTTGCTCAATTAACACGCGGAAACTGCCTGCGGCCTCAATATCATAATTTACTTTCATCCAAAATTTATTGACTGCAATTTTTGTTTGGTGCGATGATCGAGGATGGAGTTTTGGTTTTTTTGACTTTTTTTTTCTTAAAGCTTTTTTTTTTTTTTTTTTGTACATACTATATATATGTAGATCGATATCCATGACAATGACTACAACTTTGACTCTTATTTATATTCGTTCGAATTGGCGTGTTTTTTTCTTTTTTCTATCTCAAATCGGTTGTAGTTCTGGCTCCATCGATCCGCTAATTCTTGACAATTAACTTGGCCCGCAGCAGCTTCTCCAGCTTCAGGCAGAACTCCGACTTGGCAATGCCCGCATCGAGGACCACCTCGCCGTCCCGGCGCTTCCGCACCGACAGCGGTGGGTCAATGGTGAGCGGTTGCTGCTGTTGCTGCTCCTCCATGGCGTTGTTCAGTCGCGACGGCATCGATGCTTTGTCAGCCGAGCGCCTGGCACCGCCGCCGCCGCCGCCGCTGACGCCGCTGCTGCTGCTGCTGCTGCCCTTGGCGGTGATGCCGCGCAAATAGCTGTAGCCGGGCAGCCAGCGGCGCAGCAGGCGATCCAGTCGGGCCAGCGGTCGCAGCTTGGACATGCGTTGGCTGCCGCTATCGTTGGTGCTGTCCGTCCCGTTGGAGCTGTTGCTGTCGCAGCTGCTGTTGTTGTCCCTGTCTAGCCTGCTGCCGCTGCGACTGCTAGCCGCCATCGCTGACGCCGTCGTTCTCGCCGATCGCCATCCGCCGTCCGTACCAGCGCTGCGTCGCCCGAACGGGAGGTCGGTGCGGCGTGACATTTGGTTTGGCATGGAAGTATCTTACGGGTGATTGTTAAGTTCCAGAAACAATACGTACTGTACCGGCCTAATTGTAAAAAAAAAAAACAACAAACAAACTGAGCACTGAAAAGATTCGCAGGGAGCTACCAAAATTCCAACACATGACAATTTACGCTCAGGGCAGCCTGATGCCGGCTGTCTATTCAAGGATACATGGACAACAAAAATATGTATATGTGTATGTGCATTGTGGCACATTTGTGGTCATGCACGTGCTGACAGATCGGAGCGTACGTGCTGCTGTTGCTGTCCAGCTTCCTGCATCCTGCCAACTGCATCCTGCCAACTGCATCCTGCTGCTTGATTTGTCGCTGGGCATTATAAGCTTAATGTGTATGCGTGTATGTGTACGTGTGTGTGTGTGTGTATCCGTGTGTGTGTGTGACCCTTGAATGACAGGGCACTTTGGAGCTACAGCTGGAGCTGTGCAGCGACTGTTGCAAGTGCAGCCACCCCAACAACACTAAAACCTGCAATCCCATTCAACTAAATCTCGCACAGATAAATGACAGCATTGCGACTTTAAGACTTACGCGCCAACTGCACCACCAACACCACCAATGAAAAAACAAGAAATAAATAAATGAACTAATAAATGTGCTTGCAGCTAAGAACCGAAATATTTTATAAATTGAGCTACATTTGCAGCAATTGCATTTTACGCTTGATTCATGTAAATTGCATTCTCAAGATTAAAGTCCAAAGGCCAAGACGAGACTTCAAGCACTGGCGCTAGCTAGCTCTCAGAATGCAATTCTATGTTGTTAATAAACCCAAATACTGTGAAGAAAACGAATGATTCAAATGCAAGTAAGAGAGTTGCCGTCGGGTAGTATCGACTGTGCAATACTCCTTCAAGCATATAGCATATAGCATATAGCATATAGCATATAGCATATAGCATATAGCATATAGCATATAGCATATAGCATATAGCATATAGCATATAGCATATAGCATATAGCATATAGCATATAGCATATAGCATATAGCATATAGCATATAGCATATAGCATATAGCATATAGCATATAGCATATAGCATATAGCATATAGCATATAGCATATAGCATATAGCATATAGCATATAGCATATAGCATATAGCATATAGCATATAGCATATAGCATATAGCATATAGCATATAGCATATAGCATATAGCATATAGCATATAGCATATAGCATATAGCATATAGCATATAGCATATAGCATATAGCATATAGCATATAGCATATAGCATATAGCATATAGCATATAGCATATAGCATATAGCATATAGCATATAGCATATAGCATATAGCATATAGCATATAGCATATAGCATATAGCATATAGCATATAGCATATAGCATATAGCATATAGCATATAGCATATAGCATATAGCATATAGCATATAGCATATAGCATATAGCATATAGCATATAGCATATAGCATATAGCATATAGCATATAGCATATAGCATATAGCATATAGCATATAGCATATAGCATATAGCATATAGCATATAGCATATAGCATATAGCATATAGCATATAGCATATAGCATATAGCATATAGCATATAGCATATAGCATATAGCATATAGCATATAGCATATAGCATATAGCATATAGCATATAGCATATAGCATATAGCATATAGCATATAGCATATAGCATATAGCATATAGCATATAGCATATAGCATAGCATATAGCATATAGCATATAGCATATAGCATATAGCATATAGCATATAGCATATAATATAGCATATAGCATATAGCATATAGCATATAGCATATAGCATATAGCATATAGCATATAGCATATAGCATATAGCATATAGCATATAGCATATAGCATATAGCATATAGCATATATCATATAGCATATAGCATATAGCATATAGCATATAGCATATAGCATATAGCATATAGCATATAGCATATAGCATATAGCATATAGCATATAGCATATAGCATATAGCATATAGCATATAGCATATAGCATATAGCATATAGCATATAGCATATAGCATATAGCATATATATGTACATCACTATCCTTCTATATCATATAGATAATTTGCTTTATAAGATGAGGTTCCCTAGGAGCTAATAATCAGAATTCCAGCTCTTAATCTCAGAAGGAGAGACAAACAGAGAAACAGCCAGCAGAACTAACCCAAAAACCAATATACTCTCTTCACTCTGTAAAAGTGTATAAGTAGTTATATAAACTTCAATTTTGAGGTATTTCAGATTTATGGATATGACAAATCCAATTTCCCTAAGAGATCTGGAACCATTTCTCTCTTCTGTTTTCTGGCCATAAAAGACTTCGCAGCGTTAAGAGAATAAAAACTTGTAAAATAAACTTGCCAAAGTTAAATGAATTTAACTCAAACAAATGCGAGGCGTCACAGATACTTTCGTGTTGGCTCTAATGCAAGTGGAGCAAGTGGAGCCGCAGCCGCTGCGCAGCGTGAAATGGAATCGGAATTGGAACTTTTTGTTGGGCGAATGTCTAACGACTTGCAGATGAATGGGAAAGTATGATGAGGCGGAGGGGCAATCAAACAAAGCATAAAAACTCATTTGCCAAGGCCAAACACACACACATATATATACACGCATGTATGCGCGCGTGTGCGTGTGTGCCTGTGTGCGTGTGGCATAAGGATAAATAATAATATTCAATTAAACATCACGCTTGCATAATACATAATAAACTGCCAAATGTGGGCATTGTGGGACAAGAATACTGAAAGCAGATGTTAATGCTGCTCCTGCTCCTGCTGCTCCTTCTACTCCTGCTGCTGCTGCTGCTGTTTTATTTGTTGCTTAGCTTATCTGAAAGCGTTTATAATTGAAAAAGTTTTGCGCTACGCTGTGTGTCGCCATGGCCGTTGCGTTCCACTGCCACGGCTCCTGCCACTTCCACTTGACTTGCCGTTCACACTTCATATTTCACTTAGAGCAGCCGCAGCGGCAGCCACAGCCGCATTTGCAGCCTATTTCGCCTTCAACTATTCAAAGAGGTTTGCCTCTTGACTTGGATCTGGGCCTGGCCTTTGACACCGGTTTGGCTGAGATTGCAGATAGGCTGAGTATGCTGCTCCAACTGTGCCTCACTCTATCTCTTCCTCCCTCTCCCCCACCCCCTCTCTCCCTTTCCATCTCTCGCTTTCTGGGGGGCCACTTAGCCGCCCTGCCACACTGACATTGACAGACAGCCGAGGCACAATGCGATCAGATCTTACCTAGCTTACCAGCCTCTCCGCCCTGCCACGCCTCCCCCCCCCAGGCAGTGCTTGTCTATATTTGCCTTACGTGTGCGTGTCTCTTAACGTGTTTATCATGTTCATCTTGTTATTTATTATTTACACGCTGCACGAACTGCTGCTCCGCCTGCTCCGGCAGCTGGCTCCAAGTTCTGGGCGCCAATTTGCATATTTCAAATTAAATTGCTACACGATGTTCTGGAAATTGAGCGCAATGCCAAAATGAATTAAAATTAAAAATAAAAGGAAAAACATGCGAAAACCGAAAGGCAAATGAGCTGAAACAGCTTCAACAAATTTAAGATCAAGCATGAGCTAGATTTTAATTTTATTTGATTCATTTAAGAAATTCATGCTAGCCAAATGAATTGAATAAATATTTTGCTATATATATTCGCAATGGGAATGAGCATAATTGAAAGGAGTATATTGGCTTTTGGGCAAGTCCGTCTGACTGTGCTATTGGAGCTAGAGACTTTATATTTGGAATACTTATGTATATACTCATGAACACCCTGGGATTATAGGCTGTCAAGAGTTTCATGATACGCCCCCACTAGGGGCGTGGCAATCGGAAAACTCATTTCCAGGTAACTCAGAAACCAAGAAAATTTTATTCGGAATATATTCTCGGGTTGATAACACAGGCTAAATAAGATATGGAGGCGTGGCAATTCGGGTTAAGCTGTATTTTGATTTGCACAATAATATATGTACATATGTGTATGCATACAATGAGGGGCGTGGCACATCAAAGAATAGATCTGGCAGCCATGACTGAGATCCAGCAGTCGGTCAAGCCCGTCTGCAACGCTCTTACCTGCTCATGTTTCAGACTATGCAAAATTTGTCTTTAAGTAATTTTGTACTTGCTAAATGCTCTAGCAAAAATGAAATATTTTATTTATATTGCAGTAAATAAAATTTCCATTTAAATGCCATCAAAGGAAAGTTCTACTGTGCAATCTGTGTAATTTACCTGTGTCATTTACCAGAATGTCTCCCAACTTTTCAAGGTCTCTCGCCAATCAGAGGCGAGATCTCTAAAGGAACTTGTTTTCATTTCATTTTCATCAGCCTCAGCCTTTGCTTAGGTGTTTGGCCAGTTGGCAGCACAAAAAGGGAGAAAATCGCTTTCAATTATAAATTCTTATGCACGTGGCTAATTAGTCCGCTGTGCAGCTGTTAATGGACTTTAATTAATTTATGCGCAGGTCGCATAATAAAGCATTGACAATGCTCGAATGGAACACACTCAATGCCAATGCGAATGATTAATGCACAACTTGTTTTCACGTAACACGCGCACCATGAGTCTGTGTGCGTATGTGTGTGGGTCTGTGTGTGTGTGTGCCGTTTCCGTTTCCGTGCAAAAAAAAAAAAAAAAAAAAAAAAGAAGACAAAAATAAAAGAGGAGAAACAAAAGTGACGGCCAACTAGGACTGGCTGCAGTTAGTTGTCAGCTGGCAAACGGAAAATATTAAGCTGCATAGCCGCTAAGGCAGGCAGGCAGGGAGGGAGGCAAGGACACGCCTGCCAGTACAGCGCAGCGGAAGTTCAGCCGACGCACACACACACACACAGAGCGAGAGAGATACTTTTGAAGGTTAGCAGGCTGCGCTGTCTGGCCGCTTAGCCGAGACACTTGCAGCTGAAATTAACTAAAGTGCTGCCTACTTTGCGGCGCGTGCACAAGGGAATGCCCCTACTGGGACAAAAACTCGCATAAAATTAAGTGGAAATGTCGTTTATTAAAAAAAAAAAAAAAAAAAAGAACCACTCTGAAGTGGGGTTTAACGTAGGCCGACTGAAAAGGGATCTATCAATTGAGCTAGAATATGAA